TCAGCCTGCGCACAGCAGCTCCGGGGGGTGAGTGCTAGAGACACGTGTCTCCTGTGGTGCTGGGAGATTATTCCCCATCTGCTCCATCCAAATTGTGTGATCAGCACAGAACACGCCTTTTGCAGACAGGCTGTCCTAGCAGGCAGTTTCCTTCTACCTTTAAACTCCCTACTCACGAACCATCCTGAGGAAGTGTAATGCAATTATCGTCATCAGAGAGGGTATTTTCTCACCCTTTAATATGAGAAGTGGTTCAGAAAGAAACATGATGAAATTATCTAACAGGAATTCATGCAATTACAAAAATCATTCTGTCCCTCTCTTGAGCAAGAGAAATGTTTCACTCATCAGACACTCTGCTAGGCTTACTCAGATCAATGCCAGGAATTCTGTGAACTGGAGGTCAAGCTGCCAAGATTCAAAAGAAATGTCGATAGTAAGTGTTTGCACAGATACCAGAGTGGGAGAGCTAACCACTGCCAGCATGCAACTCCAGCACAACGCAGATAGGAAAAGCAAATTTTCCAATTTCCCCTTTTCCCGTACAATTGAATGACAACAACAAAAAACTCTTACCCAGCTCTCCCCGGAGGTTAACAAGTTCTTGAGACAGGGTTTTGTGTTGTTTCAGTGCTTCCTCCCGCTGCAGAAAACACACATCGAGTTACTCATGTTTTCAAGAGAGCCCCTTTCAGTAAGGTACACATTTGTTATCACTAGGAAAACGAGACCCAGAACTGAGAAGCCAAGATATGAATCATTTAGGCCAACAGTTTGTGTTGTTAAAAAACACAGATGTCCCTTAGTTGTTAAGGAAACATGTGCTTCAAAATCTGTATTTTCTCAGGTCCTAGTGAAACTTTCATTTGAGGCACTAAACGGCCCATTTAAAAATATTTACTTTGAGCCAATGCTTCCTTGCTGATACCCAGAACCTTTCAGCTAATGCATACTGTACTTAAGATGTAATGCTTTCTCTTCCTCCAAGGGCAATAAAGGCCTACTCAGTTTAAGATAAATATTTAATGTTCTAAACATAGGCACTTATATGCAGTTTGTCCTATATTTGCAAATAAAAAAGTTTTATTA